ACATTTAGGAAAGGGTATAAGCCAATAAAATTGAAAAGGGAGAGATTTATGGTGACTAAAACATTTGATTTGAACAGCAGGGATTCCAATTTACAGCTCAGTGCACCACCTAGAATTGCTGTTCATGTCTGTATGTACTTTAAATAAAGTACTCCTAACACATTCAACCTCCAGGTATACAATGAGTAACAGCAATGTTACTAATTAAATATCTGCTTATCTGAAAACTATACTGAGTAAAATATATACGCTACATGCATACATTAAAAATGGAGGAGTTGAGTGGGGGAAAAAAGTAGAAAAAGTTTAAAAATGAAGGGGATAATACAAAAAAATGGTTTTAGCATCCTTTTTTACAAAAGCTCACAATAACAATGTTAGTCACATTAAGTGCTAAATCAGCCTTCTTTATCCTGTTCCAGTTGTATACAATATAGAATAAAATTACAAAATATTTGAATGTCATAATGTTCTGAATCTACAGTTCTTTCCTTATATCTTCTAGAGCAAAAAAGTAGCAGAAAATCTCTTTGAACTTCTCTGTTCTATGACAAAATGCCCACTGAGACTCATAAATCCTAATGCCATTTAATCAGTGTGAAAAAATTTTAATGAGCTCTCTCTAGATTTGGTACAGAGATTATTTGTAACTATGGGATCAATTAATTAATTAGAAATGGAAGAAACTGCAAAGAAATAGTGTTTTAAATTAAGGCAATGATTTACATCACTTGTAACTTTTAAAATAGAAAAGACTGATTCTTCATAAGAGAATTATGACCATTTGTATTGCTACAATCTATCTGTTTAAAAAGTGGATATAAATGGATTTATTTGCTTTTAAACTACTAGTAAGGTCCTTTATTCTACAGAAAAGCTATAGGCAAATCAGCCAAAATACTGGAAAGAAATGCCTTAGCCTTCAATGCCCTTAAGCAGAAAGTTAATTAATCCGTGAGGTTATGATGACAGAAGTATATTGGAAATATGTATAAATCTTGGCATGCAGATGTCAGAAACTCTCTGATTCAGAGTCATATCTAAAATAAATTTATTTGCATACCATTTTTGCTATTATGAAACAAAACTTCTTCAAGATAGCATTGAAAAGTTATAGTTGATATATAAATATATATGTATAAATTATAAAAAATACACACAAATGGCCTGGTTACTATAAACTCTTTTAAGTCAAAAATTAATATTCTAGTATTTCAAATTCTAAAAACATGATTTCAAGTAATGTGAGTCCTATAAATTAAAGCGGAACAGAAAAATATTTTTCAGAAGTATTTTTTTCCCTTATTTTTTTTTCCCAGATCAAATCTGTGAAGTTAATCACTGAATCACAGGATGAGTGAGATTGGAAAGGACCTCCAGAGCTCATCTTGTCCAACCTCCTCTGTTGCACAAGACTGTGTCCAGACAAATTTTGAGTATATACACAATCTCCTGGGCAACCTTTGCAAGTGCTTGGTCATCCTCACAGTAAAAAGAAAGTATTGCCTTGTGCTCAGACAGTCTCCTGTGTATGTCTGTGTCTATTGCCTCAGGTTCTGTCACTGGGCACTGCTGAAAAAAGTCTGTCTCCTTCCTCATTACAATTTCTCTTCAGGTATTCATATGCATTAGTAAGAGCCTATGGAGCATTCTCTTAATTCATCCACCCCACTAAAGAAGATGTTAAACAGGGCTAAATATACCCAGTATTCACCCCTGGAGCACACCACTAAACAGTGGCACCCAACTAGACTTGTGCCACTTATCATAACCCTCTGGGCCTGCCACTCAGCCAGTTTTCAAACCACCTCACTGTCTGTTCATCCACACCATATGTGTGAGAGTGTCACAGGCACTACTGTAGTTCAGGTACACAACAGCCTCTGGTCTCACCATGTCCACCAGGACAGCCACTCCATCAAAGAAGTTTATTGGGTTTATTAAACATGACTTTCCTTTGGTGTAGCCATACTGACTATTCCTAATGGTTTGCTTGTGATTTTCAGGAAAAGTTGTTCCATCATCTTTTTCTAGGGATTGAGATGAGGCTGAGAAGCCTGTAGTCCCCTGAGTCATCCTTCTTGCCTGGCTTCAACACAGGAGTGACATTTGCTGTCTCCAGCCTTCAAGCACTTCTTCCAATGGCCACTATAGATCAAAGATTATGGAAAGTGGTCTTTCAAGGACATCTTCCAGATCTCTCAGTGCTTGAGGGTGCATCCCATTAGGGTCCCTGGATTCATTAATGTCCAGTTTGACCAGAATCCAAACAGAAATAATACTTTGAAAACTATTTTTCAATCATTTAAATAAAATTTATGAAAAGAACACAGTGTTTTGAACATTGTGGCCTGAAACTTCTATAACATTCAAGAATACATTGTTTCTACAGATCTACATCTCCAGATGGTTTTCAAAGAAGTTGCATCTGTGCATTTGAGAGCAGAATTTGGAATACATTTTTAAAAAAATTAATTAAAATACAAAATTTCTAGTATTTGATTTCCAGTTAATATTTTGATTACCTGACTGATTTACTTATATACTTATATGATTTTGCATTGTTACTAGTGTTGGAAGTTCATATGATGCTTCATGCAGCACAAGATAGGAGACCTAGGCTAAATTTACAGGCTGTATCTTTTTTGAAATTCCTATTATTTCATCATTATGTTTATTAAGTTCCTAGTTAACCAAAGACTTCAAATCAAAAGGTCAACATCTAAGAAATTTCGAGATGGATATTTATAACATCCTTCAATAAGAGTAAAGCAGATAGCATATCCATTTATAAATCACTTAAATACTGATCTACATGCAGAAGTATGCCTGCATACTTCTGTATAGCCAGTGGCTATATGTACAGCCACTGTGATATGACACTACAGCTAAATTCTATGCCTACATTGTACATTTTGCTAACAGCAGCAACAAAGTTTTGAAGCAACCTTGAAAGTTCTCACTCTCTCCCTTACTGTTTCACTGAGCAGTTATGGTATGCACTAGGTGCCCTAGCAGGCAGCTCCAGTGGAAGTTCTCTGCAGGCACTCATCAAGAAACCTCAATGTTTAAGAATACAAAACTCCAAAGAACTTTATCTCGGCCTGGAGTCACAGTCAATCCAATCCATTACAAAATGTTCAAATAATATATAGCATCTATGTATGGGCCTAAGCACTACTTACGATGCTCTAACAACTTGTTTTGCTTAAGTCCAATTATTTGCTTATGTAGACATTACCTCCTGACACTTGGCTGCAACCTTGCATGTTAATGATTGCTGGCATGAAATCCAAACCTGTAGCTCTATTAGTTCACTGCTTGGCACAAAACACTGCAGATTCTGCAACTGATCACAAATGTTTTGGGTAGTTTCACGTGTCTTGTTTTCATTTCCTTCCTCCTGGGAATTCTGTGCATATGTGAACTTCCCAGATTTTAATATTTGTGACTTTTGTTGATGAAACAAAAAAAAGTTCAGTTGAATTATCTGCACTAAGGGAATTTGATGCTGTAAACTTCTCAGAACGGAAAAATATGGATTCAAACATCTATGCTCTTTTTCAAAGAGAAGTTAACAAGATTAAAAATAAAAAACTACTGTTAACAATCTATACTTTTGATTGTCTAACATACCTTTATAATTTAAAAATATTAATTGTAATACAGATGCTAATATTTCTTCATATTTTTTTCAATGCTAACACAACTAAAGGATACAAGTATCTACACAGTGTCACTGGTTCACTGCTTTTGTTGGTACCTTTTGGGTTGTTTTTTAATGTTTTTGGTTTTTGTAAGTATAACCACCTTGTGTGTTTTCTGAAATAGAACCACATAAACTAAGAAAGATCTCCTTCTGCTCCTCCCATGAAATTATAGTTTAATTTGCCATTAACACAGCTGACATTCAATTTCCTTCGTTATGTACATTTGGTGAACATGCAAGCTTACAAATGAAGTAGATTCACATATATAGAACATCAAGAGTAGTTGCAACAGAAAAAAATCAAACCAAAACATAAACCCGGTTTGGTTAACTCTGTTCAACAGTAAACCACACCACATCAAACTTAATTCACTTTGTATTCCCAGGCAATGAAAATACAATTTAGACTCTAGGTGAAAATTTGAAGTATGAAAGGTGTGGAATCTTAGCTAATCATTCCATATGTATTTCTGTAGCCTTTTTTTCCCCCAGTAATTCTACAGAGAGAACAGTAACCACAGTCTAATCTACCTAATTTTTTTCCTTAAAATTAGCATGTAATGCATTTTTCTGCAGTAATGAAACTAACTCCAAAAATGCTGAAGTTATGTTCCACTTGGGACAGTGAAGAAGTGAGAAAAATATTTTAAGGATAAAGGCAATTTAATTTAAAATAAAATGAAGACATTATTTTAACTCTCAGTTCATGTGAAATATTCTCCCTACAGATTTTTATTTCAGAATAGTTTGTAAAGTTATATATATGACAGGAAAACTAAACACATCTACCATTTGAGAAAGACTGCTCAAACCGATATTTAAAATCAGAAACAATAACTGTGATCTCAGAGATTTAGACTGCTAGTAGAAAGAAAGAAATAGCTTCAGAAAAATATATGTCCTCTTCACAAATAACTCTATTTAATGTTTTGACACTTAAGAGGTAAATCAGCCATGAATGTATGAAAAATAAACTGACCTATGTTTAAATAACTGTTTACAAACTCTGAATGGTGAAGTTAAGCTTGCAGATTTATGTATACAGCAGAAAATCATTACACTTTCCTATACTGCATGCTACCATGTATCAAATCAGAGCATTCTGCATAACAAACTCTAGATGTAGTGGGGGGAAATCTCTATCTTCAAAAGTACAAACATTTTTGAAAACAGGGGTTGCTGATTTTTATAATGTTTATGTTAATCTAAGTCTTTATCACATTAAAAAAAAATTCCAAATATAGCCCAAACAGAAAATTCCTAAATTTAATTTGTGCCCTCCCCCTCTTACCTTTTCTGGTGGTACAGGAGGTTGAAATCTCTTTGCACAAAGTAAAAATGGATCAGGATGTGGCTTGCCACGCTTCAACTCAGGGTCATCTCCCAACACAACATGATGAAAAAGACCAAATAAGTCTTTGTGTCTGGTTGTTTTTGTCTGAAATGATGCTTCACTTGAGCTGCTGGCAACAGCTATGGGTACCTTGTGTTTGTGTAAATGATGGATCAGCTTACTGACCCCTGCAAGACAAATAAATACATTTCAGTTGTTATGTATATGCATGTAAGTTGGTATATGTATTACATAATTACATAGCATTTAGCAATACTTCAACAATACTGTCTTACTGAATGTAATAAACCTATTTCAAACCGTCATTGTAAAAGAAAATTCTCACTATATCTGAAATGTTCCTTCTACACTCAAAAATCATGGAACATTTTGTAAGTTATATACATACTTTTTCTGTTATCAAACAATGTTTTTCTCAAAATATGTAAAAAATGTGATTAACATCACAACATAATGAGACCCACTATAAACTCATTAAGCAATGTCCCCACATTATGTAAATTTATTAGTTGAAACTCTAAGAGTTTGGGAGAACATTTTCTTTCATATACAGTTATGCTCCTGGGAAAAAAAGAAATCAAAGAAGTATATTCTTCTCACTGGATTGCAGAGTTTTAACTTCTGAAGTAAGTATTCCGCTAGTTCAAGCCAGCCTGTAAGAGAGCTGTTTCTCTCTTTTGCAATTATTAAAGCAAGTCACACTGGGCAGAGGAGAGCAGCTGTCAGTCATGGTCCCTAATACCAGAGCTTTATCTATCGATGCTGTGAACCCAGAGTAATGAACACCTCAAGCCTAATGGGTAGAAACTTCAATCTGATCCAGTCTTCTAGGGAAGGTTAATGCAATGAACAGTGAAAACACAACCAGTCTGTGTAAGAGGGAAACATACTTTGTGATTCAGTGCAAGTTTTGAGTTTTCTCTGAAGGGTTTTTAATGTTTCTTTGCTGAAGCATTCTGAATGCCGGATACTTTTCTCAGACGAAATAATTAGCATTATCTAATGAAGATCAAGTGTGGATATCTGGTCTTTACCAATTCAGAAGAGAAATTCCTCCATACTTGTAAAATAATTTTAGCTGTGCTTTTTTGGCATTAATCCCAACTTTACTGGACACAGGATATTAGTTTCAGGTAGTCCAGCTGACTTTTGGCTCTTTGAAACAACTTGAGCACAATTCTGTTTTCATCTTCCAACTAAATTAATTCTTATCCTATTTTTCATGCCTGGTTATACAAAAATAATCTTATTCCTTTCCTCCTGATTCATTGTCATCATTATGTCTAGTCCCCACTCCCTTAAACCATTCCTACTTCTCCTCTGCCACCTCAGCACCTCTGATATGTATTTCCCTTGTGATCCAGCCATTCAATTCTATAAACAATATGGTTATTTTTTCCAATTTAGTCATATGCCCACCTTTTAGAAGTTCTAAGTACTACTGATAATAAAGTGTGTAGATTAGTAAATAGGTAGAGCAACTAATCTACCTATCTGGAAATAGGACTTGTAGGAATGACTCTCTGCAGATTTCTCATTTTTTCTCCAGAATCTAATCAAACAATTAATAACTGACATTTCCAGCTTCATGCTTGTATTTGAAGATGGCCTTTAAGCTAATGTTAGATTTTGAGATGGACAGACATAGCAAGCACCACTGCTCCTCTAAGGTCAATATATAAGCCATTTAAAAGCCTTCCTATGCTCCCTTAAGTGGTTATATTAAGAAAGTGCATTTTTTCCCAAATGATGCTACTATGTCCTCTCACTGAAATATGATGTTAAATACAAGCGAGCTTTTTATTCCAGATGGCTTATATCTTCAGTCTGAATAATGTGAAATCTATATTAAATTAATGGAAGCACTAAGATTCCTTAATGTAAAGCAGTAGTATAAGTGTCTCTTCCCTAAAATAAAATGCATTCATTCGAAGGAATTTAATAAAGTGCAATGTTTAGCAAGGCTAGCATACATAAGTGTGGTAACATAAAGCAGTCCAAAGATTACACACACAGAAGACTCCTCCTATCTCCTACACCCTCGCTATGATATGGTTAGTTTTCTCAAAAGTTGTGCTCTTTTCAAATAGCTAATTTTCTTCAGTCCCACTGCATCACAGCTTCAGTTCATCTCTCACTGGGTATGTTTATTCTATGTTTCTGTTGGAGGTAGCCAGCCACAGAAAAGCACTGTTGCAGAAAGGTTATTTCTCTTTTATATTCCTAGAGCATGTCATGATTTCAATGTGTAAATGTGTATGCATGCGTGTTTGATTTCTCTCACAATAAGGGAGCTAAAATGCAGCTGTCCCTAGTACCTTCAGAGAGAAAATATTTACATTTTTCAGAGAACATGCCACTTAAAAAAATATTATTTGCATACATGTAAATAGAGCGAGATAGAAAAAAAAAAAAAAAGTACAAGGGGCAAATCAGCTGCCCAGAAAAAAAAATTAAACTGCATTTGGAAGAATAGCTAGCATAACATGACAAGCTCTAAGCAGTAGCAGCTGAAAAATACTTTCATTCCAGGTTTGTTTTCCTCTTTTTAAAAGCTATAGATCAGGAAAATCCATTTTTGTTTGCATCAATTACCACCAGTTTAGCTCTAGACACTTTGCCACCATGTCAAATTACTGACACAATTATTGTACTAATTCAGCATACAATTCTTCATTAAGATAATATCTTCCTTAGTATCTTTGTAATTTTTTTTTAAAGAAAACATCAACAGAAGGAGAATTGAGGAAGTGCTTTAAAGACCTGTAAGAAACTTCTCCTGGCAAATACTGTGTCATTATATATTCTATAGTTACAAAGATTTTTCAATGAAATGACAATCAAAACCAACCAATTCAAAGCTCCATGGCTAGGAAGAAGTATACTGAAAATTCCCATGATCTTCCTAACTTCTAACTTACTTGTGGCTACTATGTAAGGGATCAACGCCCATCTATCCTAGACAGACCCCTCTGCTAGACTCCCTAGGGGGGACTACCCTCCACGTCTCCTACTGAAAACTTAGACATATACAGCAAGAATAAAGATTAAAGAAAGATCAAAAGAATTAAGGATCTCTGTTTTTCCAGTATAAGAATACACTCCAAATGCGGCACACAGGCAACAAATATCTTATGCAGAATCACATAAATTCGTCAAGTAGTTATAAGAAAATTAGGAATAAATATCCCACATTGCTATGATTTATTTCCAAATGTACCCTTGTTTTCAGATAGGTAGAGGTATGTTTTTGCTATCTCTTTAAATAAGAAGTTTTAGATTGACACAGAAGCTTAATATATACTCGCTACAACAGTTAAGCATCAGTGACTACTTCACAGAAAAATAAGTGTAAAGAATTGTAAGCAGAGTTTCATTACAGGACCTGCAAAGAAGGAGGACCAACTTTAAATGTCAGCATCTTTAAAACCCAATTAATCACAAATGTCAATGAAGTTATCAACTTCAAGGAAAAAAAAGAAAACAAATTAAATCAACAGAAAGGACCTTTTTCTTCTGAGACTACAGACACATCTAAAAGAAAGAGATTGGCTCTTTTGTTCTGAAAATTGCAGGAAAGCATATATATTATGTTTTTGAAAAATGAACTTTTATCCCTCCATTAGACTCCAGATGTGGTGTTGTCCTCTTTAGATTCAGCAGACATAATGGTCACTAACACACTGGATCAACTGACAAACTAAAAATAAGACATATACTGAACAACAAAACCCTTGGGCTAACCCACATTTTCCTTCTAATTGACTAATACAACCATGTACACCAAGAGTTCAAGAAACCAAAAAATGGTACACTAAAATGATCTGAGAATCCCTATCTAATTGCTTACATGCTATTACAACACTGTTTTCTACATTACTCCTTTTAAGCTATCACATTTTATAATCAAATGACATTATTGATCATGAAGTGAAAATTAACAAGACAAAACTCCCGAAGACTAACTAAAATTGCTGGAAAGTGAAGAGAATTTTTTTTTTCCTTTTAGCTTTAGACAAACATGATCTCTGTGTCATGCACAATAGTTTAGAACAGTGAACAGCACATACATTTTTGCTACATTATATTTTATATAATTTCAAATTTTTCTACCATCCCTTTTCTTCTATTTCTCTATCTCTGAATGAAACACTGTTCTTAACTTGTACCACTTCTGCCTGTCCAGATTCAGATCTATTTCTTTTGAAACGCTTTCAGATAAAGAAGGAAAGATTATAAAGCTCTTCTATTTTTTCAAATGTTCATCTTCAACCAAACTTCTGTCTATGCTACAGAATTATACAGGAATGTTTTTCAAGATAAGCAAGAAAGTGACCTCCATGATAAACTGGGAAAACACTTGACATAAGGAAGAGAATTATACATGCTGCTTCAGGACTGAACCTTAATTTCAGTTTCCTCAGCTCCCCAACTGAATATCTTGTGTGTTGCATGTAGGTAAGCCTTACAAAGGGAAGACTTTGTAAAATCATGGCTCAGGCGTGTTACTTTGGCTAAGCAAAAAAGGACTGTGGGAAAGAGGCTCAGCTGAATTAGGGGTAGAAAAACAGGTTATGTAACCATTATGTGTTCACATCCTGGTGTAAGGTGGTTGGTTGAATTATGTTTGTTATGATTTAAAACTACGCAACTGATAATGGGCTAACAGCTTAAAACCGCCCGGTTTTTGCAATAAAGTAGCTCTCCTTTGCACCTGCCTGGGGATTCTGCATCTCTCACCCACACTGGGGTTTTTATTTCTGTTTGCAGTTGATTGACTTGAAGGCATAACACCATCATAGACACAATCACATAGCAAGCTCTGACAATACCTTAGCCTGAAAATCCACTGTTCGATGGTCTTACACATACAGGTGAAGTCCTACAGTCTTCTAGCTTCAAGAAAACAGCTGGTTTGTGTACTACCAGCACAGAGTGCAGGAGCAAGGTCACATAAATGCTCAGGCCTACACAGACAGCCCCCCTGTCTTCTCTAATGTCTCAATCCTAAAATGATGAACATAAGCTATGTAAGAAAAAGCCCTTGAAAATGAACTTCAGAAGACCTTCTCTCAAGAAAAAGCATATGTTGAAAATAGGACAATATTCAGTTAAACACCTAGAATTTATAAGGTAGATTGTATGAAAACTAAGCTTCAAAATCCTT